GCATCCACAGTTTTCCTGCTGTTTCCATCATCCTCCAGGTTGGAGCCCAGGCATGGAACTGAGTGTCTCAAGATTGCCAGAAGCTCCTCTGTCCTGCTTTATAGCCAGCCACCCCTGCACCAGTCAACACAGGTTCACCTGCCTGCACTCTCTAGTACAATGACAGAGATTCAGGCAGGAGGCAAGGGTGGGAACAGGATCAAAATGTGGGGACCTGTCTGTCTTTCTAGCTGGATAAATATCAGGCCCAGGAAGCACTGATGTTAGCCACCCTGGTGCTGGATGCCAGGTGGAAGTCTCTGTCCAGGGCCCTATTTGGAGCCCATAATTAGTGGCAGATACTGAAGGAAATGCTGAGGATGGGGATACTGATGAGGATGCTGAGGATGGGGATACTGAAGAGGATGCTGAGGATGAGGATACTGAAGAGGGGGCTGAGGATGGGGATACTGATGAGGGTGCTGAGGATGGGGATACTGAAGAGGATGCTGAGGATGAGGATACTGAAGAGGGGGCTGAGGATGGGGATACTGATGAGGGTGCTGAGGATGGGGATACTGAAGAGGATGCTGAGGATGAGGATACTGAAGAGGGGGCTGAGGATGGGGATACTGATGAGGGTGCTGAGGATGGGGATACTGAAGAGGATGCTGAGGATGAGGATACTGAAGAGGGGGCTGAGGATGGGGATACTGATGAGGGTGCTGAGGATGGGGATACTGAAGAGGATGCTGAGGATGAGGATACTGAAGAGGGGGCTGAGGATGGGGATACTGATGAGGATGCTGAGGATGAGGATACTGATGAGGGTGCTGAGGATGGGGATACTGAAGATGATGCTGAGGATGGAGATACTGATGAGGATGCTGAGGATGAGGATACTGAAGAGGATGCTGAGGATGAGGATACTGATGAGGGTGCTGAGGATGGGGATACTGAAGATGATGCTGAGGATGGAGATACTGATGAGGATGCTGAGGATGAGATGACTGAGGAGGATGATGAGGATGGGGATACTGATGGGGATGCTGAGGATGGGGATACTGATGAGGATGCTGAGGGTGGAGATACTGATGAGGATGCTGAGGATGAGATGACTGAGGAGGATGATGAGGATGGGGATACTGATGGGGATGCTGAGGATGGGGATACTGATGAGGATGCTGAGGGTGGAGATACTGATGAGGATGCTGAGGATGAGATGACTGAGGAGGATGATGAGGATGGGGATACTGATGGGGATGCTGAGGATGGGGATACTGATGAGGATGCTGAGGGTGGAGATACTGATGAGGATGCTGAGGATGAGATGACTGAGGAGGATGATGAGGATGGGGATACTGATGGGGATGCTGAGGATGGGGATACTGATGAGGATGCTGAGGGTGGAGATACTGATGAGGATGCTGAGGATGAGATGACTGAGGAGGATGATGAGGATGGGGATACTGATGGGGATGCTGAGGATGGGGATACTGATGAGGATGCTGAGGGTGGAGATACTGATGAGGATGCTGAGGATGAGATGACTGAGGAGGATGATGAGGATGGGGATACTGATGGGGATGCTGAGGATGGGGATACTGATGAGGATGCTGAGGGTGGAGATACTGATGAGGATGCTGAGGATGAGATGACTGAGGAGGATGATGAGGATGGGGATACTGATGGGGATGCTGAGGATGGGGATACTGATGAGGATGCTGAGGATGGAGATACTGCTGAGGATGCTGAGGATGGGGTTACTGAAGAGGAGGCTGAGGACATTGCATTTATCAGGATTTACATTTATCAGGATTTGAGACAGGTTATGTCTCAAAAGATTGGATGGGGTGGATTAAAGAAGAGTGAATAGGGGCAAAGTTCACTGCTTGCTCTCAGGTTCCCAAAGCCAACAATACTCATGTAGAATAAGGTGGATTAGGTTTAACTGGAGCACACAAAGAAGATCAGGGATGGTACAGCCACGATGCATTTACAGAGGCTTGGGGTGCAGAGCAGGGATGGCAACCAATGTTCTTGCTCTGTGCCAACCAGTCTCACTTTGGATATAGTGTTCAGTTCTGACAGGCTCGTTTTTGGGTGGACATGTCCAGTCAGGCATGCCAGTGGATGGTAATTAGGGTAATGGGATGCACGAACTAGCACTGGATTGTACAAACAATGGGTGGAGAGATTTTGCTTAGGGGATAGAGATATGCTGAGGACACAATTGTGGAACAGGCTCCATGTCGGGGACACTGGACCCATTCTGTGTGCTTCTCATGTAGCACTGGCCTGTAGAAATGCCTGCAGGAACTGAACAGTTTTTGTGCATGAGCTATGCAATAGATAACAGACTTATGTGTAGTGTAGGTTCATGATCATGTGTGTATATACATTTGTGTCTGCAGGACAAGATACCTCACCCAACTTGGAGTTCACAGATTTGTACAGTCTGGGTGACTAGCCAGCCCCAGGGATCCCCCTATTTCTGTCTTCCCTGTTCTGGTATTACCATGTTCTCCAGCTGTTACAGGGATGTTGGGTGTTAAATTCAGCTCCCCGATGCTTTTGTGGCAAACACTTTACAATCTGAGCCATACAAAGTTTAACTGAAATATTAGCCCATGTGGTCATTGGCCACTGTATGGGCTACCAACCCTCTAGAGCAGTGGTTCTCAGCCTGTGGGATGTGCCTCTTTGGCAAACCCCTATTGCCAAAATTATTTATATTGCGATCCATAATAGTAGCAAAATTACAGTTATGAAGCAGCAATGATAATAATTTTATGGTTGGAGGTCACCACAACATGAGGAACTGTATTAAAGGGTTGCAGCATTAGGAAGGTTGAGAAACACTGATCTAGAGGACAAATACAAGAATAGACCAGGGATCAACTATTTTCTCTAAAAAAAATAAAAGTTAGCAGATATATTTGTCTCACCCCTGCCTCAGAGTCTTCAAAAGCAATATACAGAAAGAGAACTTGACCAAGCAGCTGCAAAACTCTATCCGTGGACACCAAGGTTTGAATTTAGCATATTTTTTACATGTTACAAAACCAGTATTTTTCTTTTGATGATATTTTTCAACTCTTTAAAAAATGTTAGAGTCATTCTTAGCCCACAGGTTATGAGAGAGTGGGTGGCAGGCTGGTCTGGCCTGCAGGCTGTGGCTCACTGCTCTGACCTTGGCTGTGGGTGGAAACTTTAGGAAGATCATAGGTCAGACCAGTGAAGACAATGCTCAGCTTGCTGGAGCCAGCAGCAGAGTGATCACCCTGGGAAGAACTGGCTAGATACCCAACTGTCCATCAGAGGTAGTATGGGAATGTCCTCTTAGCTCAAGTTATGCTAGTGTGTTCCTCAAATGCTGTAGACATGTTGAAGTTACGGGGACATACAGATGCTGTAAATACACTGCTTTGCAGAGTAAGGTCACCCACCCTCACTTGGCCACATGGGGCTGAGTCAGGAGCTCTCTGGGTGCTCCTGGCTTCGTTATTTCTGCCACATGTTCAGGGTTCCCTGAAATGTGCCTTTGTGGAGGGTACGTTCACGTATGCTCAGTGGGTGTGGTCAGTCATCTTTCCTTTACTGTGACAAAATATTGAAATAAACAACTTATAAGGAAGAAAGGTTTGGGTTAACTCCCAGTGTCATCAAATGCTTCAGCTCATGGTTTATTGCATTGTGATTTGATTTGGGGCCTGTGGCTAGGCAGAGCATCGTGACAAGGGAGACACATGGTCGAGGAGCCCTGTTTGCCTCTGCACTGCCAAGTGGTCTGGAAGGAAAACAAAACAAAACAAAAAACAATGGAATAAAACTAAAAGGTCTTAACTAGGCTATGCCCCAATTCTTAAGGTTTTACTACCCAATATAGCAATGGGCCAGGAGGTAGCTCAGTTGGTAGAATGCTTGCTTAGCCTGGAATTCTGAGTTACACCCCCAGCACTGCACAAATCAGGGGTGGGGGTGCACACAAGTCATCTCAGCGTTTAGGAGATGGAGGCGGGGGATCAGCAGCCCAGCCTCTGTGGACCCCTGTCTCAAAAAACAAAAAACAAACTCCATCCAACAAAACCACCCACCCACCCACCCAACCAACCAACCAACCAACTGGCCAACCAACCAAAGGACATAACAAAAAACAAACCAAGGGGCGCCATGGGCTGGGTGCCAACCCTTTAGCACATGGACCTTCAGATAACATTCAAGATCCAAACTGTAGCCGGGAAGACTTTGCTGAGAATACCAAAGCCTCCACCAAGAAAGGAGAGTCCTTGGGCCCAACACCTGTGTTCTGTCACTTAAGCCCCCGCCCCCAGCAGACAAGATGGCTGGATTTAGAATGAGGACTTGAGAGCCTTTATCCTTATTGGTTCCTTCTGAGGATGGGACATGCCTCGTCCTGAGGTGGCAGGAGGTCACCTTCCTATCCCCTCCTCTGACAAATGGGGACCCTGGGGAGTCTATATCCAGATGAGCCCCAGAGCCTGCAGTAGTAGGCATGGCCGGTCTGGGGCTGCTGATGGACATTTAGAGATGTTGTTTCTCATGGTGACAGCTTAGCTTCCCTGTATTTCTTTCTGAGTTCTTTTTACTTTTGGGCGTTTCTGCCAAACAAACAAACAAACAAAATAAATAAATAAACTGCAGTGTCTGTCAGGGAAGATGCTAAAAGCACTGGGTGGAAGGAAGTTTTACCTTTTTATGCCTTTACCAAACTCTACTCCATCAGAATAGTTTTTCTACATCTTTGTACAGGCTGCACATGGAATCAGAAACATTAAAAAATGTTACGTGAGAAGTTTCAAAGCCAACACCGTAGACAGAAGGCAACACAGCCCTGCGTCCCTTGCCAGTTTTGGCAGTGGTCAGCTCCTGGGCAGCGTTGTGCCCCCTGCAGCCCGTCCTTTCCTCCTGTGGCGTCTGGGTGCGGGGCTGCAGGAAGGATTTGGTAGCAGCGCTGACCGAGTGTGCACAGCATCCTGATTGAGTGTGTTCTTTTTCAGATCATCGCCTTTGACGAGTTAAGAACGGATTTTAAGAGTCCCATAGACCAGTGTAACCCTGTCCATGCGGTAAGTAGTGGTGCCTGTGGTGGGCAGGGAGAGTCCCCACAAGTCACCGGGCTCACGAATGACAGCGGAGGTTTTAAAGAACAGAATAAAGAAGGATATGTTGTCCTGGTCCTTCCTCTATTCCTTGCTGACAGTTGTTACAGAGCTTCCTTGCTGAGGTCAGCTGAGCTCTTGCAATCAATACATTGCCAGTCAAGTGTGACAGTTCCCGTGACTCCGGGGGTGGGGGTGGAGGGATCTGCCAGTGATTTTTGGGTCCTTATCTCTGACCATAGACAAAAACGCTGTGTTGGCCAGCATGTCTGCAGGGTGTGCAAGTACCATGTTACCATGTATGGACCTCTTGCTCTGTGGGAGGTGGGCAGTGGCTGAGTTTCTCATGTAGGGTAGATGGGTGAATGCACCACCAGGTACAGCCCCAGTATCTGGTGGGCTTTCATCTCTGGTGCCTGCGGCTTGGAGTCAGCTTGTTGCACACCAGGGAATCTGGTGCAGTCTGGTGGATGAGCTCTGGGTTCTGTTTCTGGGTGTCAGGTCTGGAACCCAGCTCTGCTCATCTCCAAAGGCTGTCTTCTGACCACCAACTCGTTAGTTCTTGAAAAGACTTGGCTTTATGATACTAACCCCCGCTTTGGCGTAACAGTCTTTGATTCTATAAAGTAGAGCCAAACTCTTTCAAAGTCAGCTATAAAAAGCAAACTGGGTTAGTTGAAAGTACCCTTAAGAACCACTTGAAAGCTTAGTGTATTTCAGAAAAGTTGTAGTTTTTGAAACCTGCTTTATTCTCCACCAGCCTTAACTTCACCTGTGGTAACTTGGCTCTGCCAGGCCTGAATGGTTTTTGCCCAGGGGCTCATGCCTTTCTGGACACTGAGTTTGGCACCAGCAGCACACACCTGCCTGTCAGTACCCATAGGTGGTCAGGGTGGCTCCAAGACAGGCGTGTTCATTTCCAAATGCCAGCTGAGCTCTCTCTTCCAGCGTATCTGGAGTTTTCCAGCAGGATCCCTGAGCAGAATAAGTGGGAAAATTTGTTCAGCCCCTTGTTTCCATCATGCCAGTTCCATGCCAGGTTGCAGGCACCTGGAACAACCTGGAGATACTTTTGTGGAGTCTGTTTTTGGCTCATCAGGACAAGTCCTTTATTTAGACATTAAGTTAGGATTTGCATATACCCCCCCTCTAAGGGGAGAGGGTGCTTCTGGAAAAGGATAGTACAGAAACAGCAGTCACTAGGTGGCATCCAGAAATACTTGCCAGAAACAGAAACGGATACTGAGGATGAAGGCATGGACCTCTACCCCTTTCTCTTCCTGTGGTGCTGGGGTGGAGCTAAAGCCTTTGCATATACGAGGCAAGTGCTTTACCACTGAACTACATCCCAGCATCCCAGCTCTGTTTTTTTTTTTTAATTCCTATTACAGCAACATCTCTAATTAGTTATCAGATTAATTAAGGAGCTGAGTCCTGTGAAGCCCAGACATGGACAGACCAGAGCTCGAGGTGCCTCTGGGGAAGAGGGATTAAAAACAAAACCGAAAAATCCTAAAAGCTGTAATTAGGCAAACGCACAGACATACTGTGATTCCCCTGTTGTTGTGACATTATTTCACAGCAGGGAATGGAGTGCTCCAGCCCCTTCATTCAACTGCTCCAGTCCTCTGGCCTCCTTGAAGCCTCCAGAGTAAAGCAACATTCAGGCTCCGAGACTTACACACTTGCCTCACTGGCTGATAATTCTGGCCCTAGAGGAACTTGGGTCCCAAGAATTTGCTGACTATGCAATGCATTTCTTTTTTTGGGAGGTGGGGATGTGTTTCAAGACAGGGTTTCTCTATGTTACACTCCTGGCTGTCCTGGAACTTACTTTGTAGAGCAGGCTGGCCTTGAACTCACTGAGATCCACTTGTGACTCCTGAGGGCTGGCCTCAAATTCACAGAGGAAATACATTTCTTAAAGAGGACATGAGATCCACTTGGTCCCCCCACCCCCTTTCTTATGGTAGGCATGGAACTCAGATCTTTGTACATTGCTAGGGAAGCCTTCGACCCCTGAGCTACAACCCACGCCCCATAGATTTAAGATGCCCTAAAGCTTCAAGTATTAGTGGAAGTGGTGGACCTCTTCCAGGGCCAGGAGGGTTCCATTTCCATCCTCAGCCCGCACTGGGAAGTCTCTGTCACAGGGAGGGACCGTGTTTTCCTGCAGGGCTCTGGCTTGCTGGAGTATGTGTGTCTCTAGCTTGTGTATGCGTCTGTATGAACTCTCTCATGTGTGTAGCAAGTGTTACCTACCATGTGGACAATAACTCATCCTGACATGGCTCCTTCCTCTGGGTTTATGGGCTGCACAGAGATCATTCTATTTATGATTCAATTAGGGAAACTGAAGTGTCCTGGCCACCTGTCCTCTCCTTATCCACAAGGAAACTCATTACCATTATGGCAACCAAATTGCTTCTGTAATGAAGCACAGAGGCGCCACAGCTGTGTTCAGGGTGGCTCAGAAGTCTTGACAGTTATCGCAGAGAAAGGAAGAAGGGGGCCTTTACCGTCTGCCGTGGGCAGCATCCTCTGTCCAGCTTCGTGACATCTTTCCCTGGAAATGAGCCAGTCCTTGGAGACAGATGGACTTGACTTCTAGAAAAGTCAGAGCCCAGGTCACAACTGGTAGCCTGAGTCAGGGAGGGCTTGCTTCCTCCAAGTACACTCACATAGAAAAAGCAAAGCAAGATAGTCTCCAATAATGGGGATACAAGCTTGCTGCTCTTGGAGATACACTGAGGTGTCCTGTGCCTGAGATACGCAGTGAGCATAGGCACCATATGCTCTCTGCATCCAGACCGTCCGCAGTGGACGCATGGAGACTTTGACTATAGGAGAGTGGGAAGAGAAGAATGCATGCTTTGCCAGGAGCGTGTGCACGCTCATGTGTGCAAGTACATGTGCACATGTGTGTTGATGTCATGTGTCTCCCTCAGTTTCTCTGAGAAGTTTGTTTGTTTGTTTTGTTTTTGCTTTTTAAGGTGGGCTCTGTTAAAGGGCTGGAAAAATGGCTCAGTGGTTAACATTCCTTACTGTTCTCACAGAGGACCTGAGTTTGGTTCCTAGCACCCACATAGGTTGTAACTTCAGCTACAGGAGATCTGATGCCGTCTTCTGGGCTGTGGATACCTGCATTCATGTGAGCATACACCCACACCCCCACACCCCCCCCCACACAATTAGATCATCTTCATAATAAAAGACAGGGTCTCTCAATGAATCTAGAAGTCTTCGATTTGTCTGGACTGGCTGGTGCAGAAGCCCCAGGGATCCTCTTGTCTCCACCTCCCCTGCACTGAGGTTACGGATGTATGCCTCTATCACTGGCTCGTTAGATGAATTCTGGGATCTGAACTCAGGTCCTCATGCCTGTAGTGGCAAACACTTTACCCCCTGAGTCATCGCCCCAGCCTGCCAGGGGCGTTTCCACCAGCTATGGTGGCTCATGCCTGTAAAACAAGCACTTGGGAAACGGACACAGGAGGAGTGTCATGAGTTTGAGGCCAACCAAGGCTACACAATGAGCTCCAAGGTACCCTGAAAAAACCAATGAAACAAAGCAGAACAAAAGAACAGAAAGCAAGGGGCTCTGAGGTTCAGACTCTGCTGGGAAGAGACACTGGCATGGGCCTAGGGTGTGTCTCTGTGGGTTCTGCTTCCTCTGCTGCTGTAGACTGTGCGAGCCTCACACTCTCGGCCACCCTAACCTCCTGTTTCCTTTCTTTCCTGCACGTCCTCAGAGGGAGCGGCTGAGAAACATCGAGCGCATCTGCTTCCTTCTGAGAAAGGTCAGAGGTCCTCCAGGTGGATGAAGGGGGCGGGGTCAGAGGTCATCGGGTGAATGGCAGCAGGGGGACAAGGTGGGAGCGGGCCTCAGTGCTCTGGAAATCTTCAGAGGCAAGAGGGACTAATTAGAGAAGGTGGTCTTCAGTCAGATGTCAGCAGGACACTGGCTCTGTCCAGGGCTCTCTGGCTGGAGTTGTAGGATGTCCCCTTTCCATGTGATGATGGTTGGAATTTACAGCACCTGCCACCTCCCAGTCTTTGTTCCTGTCTGTGCTGGGCTCGGGATTTTAATGACACGTCCTGATCTAAGGAAGTTTTTAACTGGGTGTCTTGAGGTTCGAACTTGTCACTCAGCTTTGCGGTCTGGCCCTTCAGTAGGATCACTGGGTATGTTGGCCGGGTGGGACTGCAAAGTGCTGTCAAGGGGGGGCAGTAGACCACAGCTGTCCCAAGCTCCTTCTGGAAGCACGTGTGCCACCCAGGCTGGGCGTTTGGCATTGTCTGTTCAGAGCCTGCCTTTCTCCAGTCAGCAAAGTGAGTCAGCAAAGCTTAGAGAAGAGGCACTCACGGGTAAAATAAGCAAGGTCCATGGCCTTGAGCCAATGGCCGTCACCAGCCTCAGTACAGAATGGAGGGTACTGGCCACAGGAAAGCCATTATCTGCCCAAATACAGCCTTTTGTAAAATCAAGCACCCCACCAGCACTGACACAAGGGAAAGAGTTTTTACAAAGTTTTAAACTTCTTTTCTGTATTTCATCGGAGGGAGCCTAATATAGAAGCCCATCATTTCTCCTGCCAATAAGTTGCCCTTTCATGTTCTCTAAGAAACCCTGTATATTAAAATTTCTCATCTTGTTTGTCTCAGCAGGATGCTCAGATGAGAGCATGCGTTTGATAATACTAGTGATCCAAGGAATAAAGGACGATTAAGAAAATAGCATATAATTTGCATTAAAATGTGCAAATTACTTCCTAGATAATGTCACAGACACTAGTAACCCGCCCCGGTCATCAATTTCACATTCTCTGGTTTATTCCTTAAGATAATACCTATGTGACTCAACCCAGGGGAAAACGAAGATCACACTGTCGTCTCTCAGACCCCAGGTTGCCACCCTTGCATCCTGAGTGCACCACCCAGTGTTCTCTGGCAGGTGATCACCTACATTCATGTCCCTTACCTCCCCCAGCCTTCTGTTGCTGGACTGCAGACTGGCCGTAGGAGGCAATGGCCGGCTGTTGTCTCATCAAGGTCCTACTGCCCACAGCCTTATGCCCTAGGCTTTCCCAAGGTCAGAGCAAGGATGTGAAGTAAGCTCTCCAGGAATTCGTTTTGACATATTCAAATCTCCATGTGATTTGCATCTGTGTCTCTAAGCCGTAGACCGCAGGAGTTTACTCAGGAAATATTGTATTCCAAGTGCCCTTTCTTTACTCCTTCCTTTCTGGCTGCTGCCTCCAGTGCTGTTTAGACATAATTGCTGCTCACTGTGGTGAGCAACACCAGGAAAGACAGTCTAAGACAGACATCAGAGAACAGGAACACTGAGCTGACCCACTCAGGCACAGGAATGAGATCACCCCCTGCAGCCTCGTGCTCCTCTGGCTTCATGGAATGGCCAGCACGGTGGGGCTAACAAGGCAGATGCCAGTCAAGTGCCCATCACTTTACTTGTCCCAGGAGTCTCCCTTCTGCTCCAAGCTCTTGCCAGAAGCCTGGCTTTCAGCCTAAGATGCTACTATGTATTCTTTGCAGTTGTGTCTATCTGCCCTGGGTACCTGAGACGGTTTTCATTGATGTCAGTAGAACTCAATTTCTTTCTGGGTGTAATTTCAAGTTGTTGAGACTTCTGCACCTGGCCATTGGGAACTTGCTATAGCTTACATCTTCTTTAGCTCAGTCTGATAACTATATAGGCTCTTAACCACAGGTGTGTGTAAGTGTACCGTGCAGGAGGTCTGTCTCGGCTGCTGGAAAGATGTGATGTCCAGTTGATCATCAGATATGGTGACACTGAGTGAAAAGCAGCAATAGACTATTGAAGATGCTTATTTTGTATTTATTAAATAGTGAATAAATAATAGCTAGTTAGGAGTACTACTATAGTCTTCATTTTGGGGATGCCAGGACGGTACCAGATATCTACCGTGTACCGCCCTTGCCCCTTAGAGATGGCATTTATTTATTTATTTATTTATTTATTTATTTATTTATTTTAGCTGGTGTGTGTGTGTGTGTGTGTGTGTGTGTAAGAGAGAGAGAGAGAGACAGAGAGACAGACAGAGAGAGAGAGAGAGACAGACAGAGAGAGAGAGAGAGAGAGAGAGAGACTCATGTAGCTTAGGCTGGTCTTGAACTCACCATGTAGCAACCGCTGGCCTTGAACTCTGAATCCTCCTGCCTCCACATTGCTGGTGCTGGGATTACAGGTGTGTGCCACCATGCCCAGACTGCCTGTGTTTTAAAATAAAAGCTAACTCATTTTCAACTCAGAAGACTTTTTAACTCACAGCTTCTCTGGTCCTATTCATTTCCTGTGTTCATATTTTCTACCCTCTTTGCAGTCAGTCTTTAGCCCCAATGTCTGCTCCCAGCCAATTCAGTTTCTTTAGGATTAAAGGATGCTGATTATCTCAGTCACTTGTTCTATTGCTGTGAAGAGACACCATGACCAGGGCAACTCTTATGAAATAAAGCATTTGATTGGGGGCTGGCTTACAGTTTCAGGGTTTAGTCCATTATCATCATGGCAGGGAGCATGGAGGCAGATGCTGGAGCAGTAGCTGAGAGCTAGATCCTGATCTGTAGGCAGGCACACACACACACACACACACACACACACACACACACACACACACACAGAGAGAGAGAGAGAGAGAGAGAGAGAGAGAGAGGCCCACCCCCAAGTAACACTTCCTGTAACAAGAGCACACCTTTCAGATAGTGCCACTCCCTGGTAAGTAAGCATTCAAATACATGAGCCTACAGGGCAGGGAGCTTTCTATTCAAATCACCACAGCTGTGAAGTGTGCAAACATCTGCCTCCCAATCCTGCCCCTACCTTTAGCATTTGCGTGGCCTGTGGGGTATGGCTCAGGGTGACCCTCAGGATAACACTGGGTATTGAACACTGGGCCTCATGCGTGCAAGGCAAGTGCTCTACCATTGAGCTACATCCTCAGACATCAGGGCAACTCTTAAGTGAGAGAACAATAACAATTCATCCTTATGGCGTTATCCTGAGAATTAAAGTAGATAATACACACATGCAGTTCACATGTACTTAACACCTACTAAATTTCATTGTTAGTGACCTGCCCCTCACTCCCCCAAAATCCTTTATGGCATTTCCATGGGTACACAGGTTGAGATGATGCTTTGGCTGGTGACATCCCCCCATCATCTTAGATAAGTACCATTTGATGTTTTGGAGACAGGGTTGTGAACAAAATTGGTAGGCCTGGACCTCTCCCTCCTGTTGTTCATCTCTCAAATGGGCTATGTTCCGATTCTCAAGCTACAAGCCCATGTTAGGGGTAGTGTGAAGGCTTTATAGATCTAGTTAGCATCACCACCTTCTGGGAATTGTACCTTCCAAGAACTTCTTGGAACCAGCCTCCCAAACAGCCCAGAATGGATGCATCTCCACAGCTGACTGCTGCTGAGCCACCTCCTTGGCCTTGTTGGGAGAAAGGGAAGGGTTGCAAAGTGGATCCATTTTTAGCTCTATAATTATCAGAAAATGTGTTCTTCGGGTAATTGTCTGAACTGCAGGATGCTGCTTATGATTCATATTTTATGGCTCCTTGTGCAGCTCTGTCCTCCCGGTGTGTAGTAAGTAGGCTCTGTAGGCTGTAGTACATACACTCTGTTTGGGGACACATCATGGAAGGTTTGGTGGCCGCTCCCAGGCACACATAGGTGTCTCATGGTGGGCACAGACTGGGGAGGGGTGGCCTGCTGCATCTGTGGGTTCAGAGTGGTCTCAGGAAAGGTCTTATGTGGGAACTAAAGAGTTAGGGTGAGAATAAAGAGGGACTTGCTTTATTGGCAGCAATCCTCGGGTCTCAGATTTGGTAGTTCTGGGGTTCTTTTGGTTATTAGAAGAGCTAGGGCCGCAATGATTGTAAGTTTGGTTGATCTTGCCCAATGTAAGGACTTGGCTGCTTAGTTTGGGACATCGCTCTTGCTTAACAACTCTGGGATCCTTCAAGTCCTAGTTTCTCCAAGAGAATGTCTGGCTCCACCACAGGTTTTCTGGTGTTAGTGGATGGAATCAGACAACTTCCGGTCTCCTCTTGAGAATTCTCATTGAGATGTGGAGGAGTGGGTGGGGTTTGTGGAGGTGGTGGAGCTGATTCCAGTGGGATGATTGGCAGGGGCGGATGCTCTGGGTTCAACACTGGACCAATCACAGAGGCAGTAGGACTTCAGGAACTCCCATATGCTCCCCGGCCCAAGCTTCCCAGATGGCTCCAGGGAGGAGCCCAGGTATGAAATAAAGCTGCCAGTACCAGCTGAATCTATTGCAGAAACTCAATGCTGAAGCACTAAAGGTAGCCACTGTCCCAGTGTAAGCCACTTCTGTTAACTGAGAAGGTCCTGTAGCTTCAATTTGCCATATACATGGGTCACAAACACTGAGACACTGTGTCTAGGACTGGCTTCATGGTTTTCAGGGTCCAGTGAAAATGACAATATGAGCTTTGGTATCAAAAAAATGAGGATTCCAAGAATCAGATATCAGAACATTCAAACAAAGTGGTTTTCTTCTGAGCCCAGTGTCCTGTGCGGCCACATGGGCTCATGTCCCTGCAGTTGGTATCTACCTGTGCCCATGGTCTGTAATTCTTCCTGCTACAATAGCACATGTCTTCTCTCTGTTGAAGACGGACTTCTCCATAGGAGCAGATTTGCCCATGGGGATGTGGCTAGATGCTTGCATGTGTTGAGGCTTCAAGAACCACTGGGAAATAACCTTTCCCTCTCTAAGTTCTGC